TGTATTGGGGTGTACACCAAACAGGATTAGGGTTAGCAAGAAATGGCAAATGACCTCCTAAAGCTCATGAGGAAAGTCGGGGGAGAGGCAGGGAGAGAGACAGAGATAGGGACAGAGACAGAGTGAGACATCACAAAAGGAAGAAACGGTGATACCAAAATAACCCCTTCAACTGATTTCCTCGTAGGGGCCGCTATAATGTTAAGAAAAAGAAAGAAAAGAAGCATACAAGAGCAACAGGACAGGTTTTTGTCACCAGCAAACATGAAAGGGACAAGCCTGGTACTGCTACAAGAGTAGATCCTTTTGTGTAGCTTTATTTATAGGTTTATGACGGGGAGCTCAGTGAAAGGGGGTTTTGGCTATTTGAGAAAAACAAAGCTTGAGAGAGCTCAAGGGTTAACAGTTGTCCAAGGACAAGGCTTGGGAATGTGCAAGGAATAGTGGCTGCTACCAATAGCAGGTTGATGATGACATGGGTCACTGAGTGTGGCTGTGCTGTGGTCCTGTCAGGATGGCAAGGGTTGAATTCCTTTAAGTGGAGATGCAAATATTGGGGTATAGATTTGGATAAATGAACACGGTACAGAGTAGAGATATAAGTCTGGGGCTCATCAGCATATAGTTGCTATTGTAAAATGTTGAGTTTTCTAAGAATTCATTGAGTGTGGGAGAAAAATAGATCCAAGGACAGATCTATGGCTGACTTTGAAGTTTGAAGGGCTAGGAGTCGAGAAACCAGTAATGGGAAAGAGACATAAGAGACCAAAGATCAAAAGGAAAGTCCAGTAAATATGCTGTGAAAATTGATTCAAGGAATTTAAGCCATCATTATGTAGGGATTCACAGCCATAGTTGTGTTTATGTATAATGTATATGTGATTGTGAGTAAAGTTTTATTATACAAAATGCAATCAGTCTCTACATAATTATCTAGAACTATTTTCTAAAAGTTAATTTACCATGGAAAAAGGTTTTATATTATTTTTAGAGTAAAGCTATTTTATTTTCAACTTTTTGACTTTCCAGAAGCTCTGTTAAGAGATTATCACTTAAACAGAAGGGAAACCCAATTAAAATACTGTGTGTGTGTGTGTGTGTGTGTGTGTGTGTGTGCGCGCGCGCGTGTGTGCTCTGTTTCCTATTAAATCCCTTTTGCAGAGTAGGCAACTGCTGTATCATTCAACTCCACTCCCAATCCTAGCTGTAGAGTTTTAAAGTAATACTTGATGTCTTCTACTTAGCTACCAAAAGTTCTTTATGTAAAACTAATAAACCAAAGAAAATCTAAACTAAGGAATAAGAGAGAAAGAATTGAAATAGAAAAAATATCAAATTGTTCCTATTTCTTATCATTGCTAGTGGTAACTAATAGATGCTGATTCTCTCTTAAAATAAGCCTTGAACACAGCAATTTTTTAAATAAAAAAGTTGTGGAAGCAGCTGACAGTTTTGCTCATTATTAAAAGAGATGAAAGTTTTGTGATTTTTTTCTATGATTCTAACATCTGTTAGTTTGACAAAGACAAATTCTATGGCATTCCTTTCAAGTCACCTATGTAGGAGCTCAGTGAAAAATAAGTACGTGATAATGTGTTACTATTAGCAATGTAAGGTAGCAACAATATGGTGTATTATTTCACTCCATCTGGACAATGAATGAATTGATGGTATTAAATTAGAACCCAAAGATAAACTATATTTTAAAAATTCATTTCAGAGCTCCCAAATTTTCCCCAAATTAAAACATATTTTAAACAGTGAATTATCTATGCCAGAATACATTTGATCTATGAAAACAAAATTAAAATTAAAATATATATTTCTTGAGTACTGACTACATACTAGAAATTGTAATGGGTAGTTTATAATTTATACAGTATATCATTTCAGATCATTCATCAGTTTACTCCGTTTTCTGTTTTTGACATTTTAGTTGTTTTGAATATTTTTATTAGCATTTAATGTTAGATTGGGAGAAGAAATACTCTACACTGCAGATGCTTACATGTGAACCAAGAGCTTTTGAGGTTCATCTGAAATCAAAGCCACTCTTCCTGGTTGCTTGTTATACATGCCTACATGTCCTATAAGCTTCTCAGTTATTACATTGTGCTGTAAAACTTTCAAAATATATTGAAGACAAATAAAGAACTATTTTCATAGAGAAATTCAAAGTCATAACTATAAAGAACACAGTCTCAACTTTTATAATAGGCTGATTCTGAATTCTTAAATGAAATTATACTCTTCCAGCTCTATAAAATTTAAAAGGAAATGGGAGTCAGGGGAAAATCCTTATTTTAACTTTCATGGGGTAGCTTCCAAATTTCTGTATTCACAGTTTTGTTCCAAATCCTGTTATAAATAATTTGTCACTTATGCTAGGTAGAAAACAAATGCTGGCAAGGCTGGTAAGACTGTAAACCGATACAACCACTGTGGAAATCAGTACGGAGATTCCTTTAAAAAGCTAAAAGTAGAAATTCTACTTGTCCCAGCTATACTTCTAGGTAACTTCCCCAAAGAGTTAAATCCATAATACCACACTACCATAGTGTCGTATGCACATCCATGCTTAT